AGAGAAATAGAACTAACTGTAAGGTCAGAAGGCACCAGATATTTCTTTGCATCCAGGTCTCCAACCCAAGATTTGGGAGCCTTTTCTATTATCACTGGGACCCAGCCTGGGCGTTTCTTTTAGACCTTCTTGCCCTCAGATTGGCACTTCTTCAACAGACACTCCTTTTCATACACAAACCTCACCCTCCTAAGGCCTCAGGAATGTGGCTGGATCAGGCTAGGCTGAGGCAACCCCGGGAGTAGGGGGTAGCAGTGGTGGGGTAGGTGAAATCACCCTCAGTTGTTCTTTCCATTGAGCCTCAAATTCTACTTCAATTAATGGATAAATCAAAGAACTATAGATAATGTCTCAGATGTCTATATCCTACCATTGCTTTGAGGAGGAAAGCAAGTTAACAGAAACGAAACTGCTTTGCAAGTTCTCAAGGTGACCTGGAGTGAACACTTGTCCCCATCCTCACCAAGAGAACAAGCAGGTGATGTCCTGCCATGATGCTGAACCAACGCTGCTGGGTGGGTCCGTCTCTGGTCCGTGCTACCCCTTCCAAAAGGCAGCTAGTTTTAAAAAATAAAAACTGTCATAAAGGTTAATAGGGACTCATTTTTAAAGAACTATGTGGGAAGCAAACTACTGCCCAAAGTAAGGCACTGATTGCTAATACTAGGGAGTCTTCAACTATCCCCATTGACAATATCAAAAATTTCTACAGTTAAGTCCATCTGGAAGGCAGGAGCAAGAACACATACGTTTCTCAACTCAAAATGGAAACTGTGAACTAAAATGGTGGCTTTTAGAGAAAAAAGTAAGATTTAAGAGAAATAAATACCTTCGTTCCTCATACAATCTTCAGGGAGATTTGTGCATGGAAGTTCTTTGCTCGGCTGCATCAGGAGGCCCTCCTGCAGTAAGAAAATCCAACAGTCAAAGAGGATTCAGAGATACCTGATTCATGAATGTGAGCTATCTCCTGAAAAAGTTCTTTATGACTCCAGGAAATTCGTTAGCAGTCACCAAAAATTTGGAACTGAAGGAAACCAAGTTTAAATACACACAATCAACAAAACTACTACTTCTTTACAGTTTTGAATTGAAAAGCCAGCTCTCTCAAGGTATGGACAAAAGAGGTTTAAACTGCTGACCTGTAAACATAAACAGGACCCTACAAATACTTCTGAATCAAGGGGGAACAGCTGCAATGTAGCCTTCATTTCATCTGAAAATATTAGGGCACTGGCTATATCCCAGTCCCTAATCATGCTAACTATCACGTACTCATTCTCTTCCCAAACTTCTTAGCAGGGCTCTTATTTACTTTTCATTCTCCTCCATCAAGAGAAGGAGATAAGGAGAACACCATCTATGACAAGCAGTTTGGCCGAAGTACACACTAGGATAGCAGCAGCTCAGAGTCCCATGAGGGAAGGGCCAACCAGGCTTACCACCAGTTTATCCAAGGAAGATGGCTGCTTACACTGAACTTTCCTTTGGGTCACCTTTTTCATTATCCTAAGATTTACATTTTTTTGGACATTAATTTAATTGGAAGTATAAGATTCTGTCACAGCATTTATCTAAAGGTGCAAATATAGTGAAGTCATTGCTACAGCTTCTAATAATTTACTGATTTTTACAGCACTGAAAAAAAAAGTAAATGCCATTTGGGATTTAAGCAAGATTTTAGGTAGAAACAGAACCCAGGAGAGGGAGGGAAGATAAAAGCGATGACAAATACCAGTGGACATAGGCAGAAATAAAATACTGGCATTAGAAGACAGAGACAAGGACTAGCATGAACTATCATATCTGAAGGAGAATTAATCTTTCTGTTGAAACTTTAGTGTGAAATAGTTTTACAGAACATGAACATACAAAAAAATTGTATGAATTGTGGGAGCCTCCCTTACCCTGGTGTAGGGGTTAAAGACTCAGCAGTATCAAGCTACTGCCTGCCACTGTATCATGAGCTCCAACCCCCATCAGGGAGGTGACCCACATGGTGTGGCAGACCTCTCCTGTCTCACCCACTGCTCCCCTCAAGTGTTTTTTTAGTGGATCTGCCTGTTCTGCTCCCCAGTGTCTCTGTTGAATCCCCTCACTCCCTGTATCTCTGGCCTACATCCCAGTTTTTATATGCAGAAATGAAAAATAAACCTTCAAAAACAGAGTATCTAGCATGATGCCAGACAGAACTTACTTATTTGTACATGGAAGAAGAGACAGCTCTTACTTACCATAGAAGGAAAGACAATTAGAAAATCACCATTTGATAACCATCACAGTAAAAATTATCCCAAGCAAGCATCATCAATGGATGTTAAAACCAGTGGCATAAATCTGAATAAGAAACAAATATTTACATAGTTTCAAATATCTCCCAAGGGCCCTCTCTGCAAGGGGTTAAAGTGCAGCACTGTGTAGCCATCCTCAGCTACTGTAGCATGAGTTCAATCCCCAGCCAGGGAGCTGACCCACATGGTATGGCAGACCTCTCCTGTCTCGCTCACTTCTCCCCTCAGCAGTGTATTTCAGTGTTCCCCACTCTGTCTCTGGTTAATTCTCACCCCCACACCTCTGGCCTGTACTCTAGATCTTGCATGCATAAATAAAATATTAAAAAAAAATGAACAAAATATCTCCCAAGAGACTTTAGTAATTACAAAGGGAAAAACATAAACTTCACAGTGGGAAACCCTGGCAGACCCCACCAGGCATGAAATAAGTGATGGAAATCCACCTGTGCAGAATGAGGTATACCCTCTTCTTTTTTTAAAAGATTTCGCTCTCTATACTTACAGAGCTGGGGTACAGGCCAGAGGTTCAGGAGATTCACCAGAGAGAGTGGGAAGCAGAACAGGCACACCAATGAAGAATACTGCTGAGGGGAGAGGCTGGAGAATCAGGGGAGGTCTGCTGTACGCTGTGGGTCACTTCCCTGGCTGGGATCAAACTTGCACAGAAGGGGCTGCGGCTTGCTTGCAGTGCTGCATTCTAACCCACAGTACCACCAGGGAGGGCCAAAAGTGCTATCCTTAAGCTTGTGGGTCCTGTTATCCCTTTCTGTGAGAAAAGCACTGGGCCTTAGGATTACTTATAACCAGACCCACTAGGTTCCTCCATGTATAAATTGTACAAGATTGGTTCTTTAGACTGTGTCATTACAGAATTTTTTTCCAGCAACATGCTGCGAGTGATCAACAACCACTGTTTTCTTACCTGATGTGCCCTGTCCAGATACTTTCAAGATCTGCCCAAGTAACATAAACCGAGTCTTCATATGTTACAGCTAAAAGATAATTTAAAAAACTTCTTGTGTGTCTTGTGCTGAGTATGACTTATAGTCTTGTATCCTAGGGCCACCAAAGTCTCTACCACACATTCAACCCAGGCAGTTCTATCACTACAAGGTGATGGGGAAAAAGCAAAATATATTAAAGAAACTCAATATAGAGTTTTCAACATCAAATCACCTGTGTGGGATGTCACATATTCATCTCTCTATACCTTATTTTCCAATAAGACCAATCTTTCCCATATCCTGGATAGTAAGCATTGCAAGACCACGGTTTTTGACCTTTCTCTTCCAAGGATAGAATTCAGACTGAACATATTCTTTCATGGCTCAGTCTGGCTTATGCCTCTTTGTCCTTTCCACTATGCTTGTTCTTATACTTACTTTCGTTCTTCACCATTCTTCTTACACTGCAATAATAATGTCCCTGACTTAAGCACAAAATTGTGAATGAAGTTTTTTAAACTTTATTCACACAACATAAGCCAGGAAACATTATTTGATAGTTTATCTTTTTATGAATGAAATATTTAATGATTGCAGTATTTAACTTTTTAAGTAGATCTTTAAAAAAAAATTTAAGAGCAGTTATGAAGGGACAAAGACCATATGCTTCCATAATGAGTTACCTCGAGTTGTCTAGTTCCTTCAGGTCCTTGAGGACCTGAAGGATGGGAATGATATAGGAATGGGAAGTTCTAGTGAATTTGGAACATGAAAGAGATCTGGAGATGGATGGTGGTGATAGTTACACAACAATGTAAATGTACTTAACGCCACTGACCAATACTTACAAATGAGCAAAATGGTGAATTTTATGTGTACTTCCCCCCCAAAAAAAGTTTAAGACCAATATTTAAAAGAAGTTGCTTCAGACAGTAACATGCTTGATACAGCAACAAAACCATATGAGAGGGTGAATGAGTGAATGAAGCGAATACTTAACAAAATCAGCTTAGGTTTTCATCAGAGCCCAACATAACAGAAAAGTATAAACTTCTAATTCCATATATTGGTGCATTTCTCCAAAGACTGGGAAAATTCACTAAGCAAACATTTTTACTTTGTAAAATTCATTCAATCCATGCACTAAATGCCTCAAAAAACCAAGGTGGCTGTCTTTCCCAATTATACCAAGTTTTCTTTACTGAACATGTGCTCAATCCGGCTTTTCTGTCTAGACAGATTTTAGGTTCTGAGGGATAAAAAAAGATCCAGAGTGGGGTGAGGTTAGTAGTAACAGGAGTACTTTTCCCTGTACCTAAACCAGTGTCCAACTGTGCCCTCTTGCTGGTTTGAGATGAGGAATACCAGAAAGATACTTCGTGGAATGCTGCTAAGGGGAATTTAAAGACAACTAGAAAAATCTCAGAATCTCAAAATGGAAAAGAGCACTCCTCAGTTGCTTGTTCAGAGAAGAATCCCCTTTGCTATATTCCTGATATCATCACTTAGCCTCCTCATAAACATGATCGTCTCATATGACCTAACAAAAACTGGGTTAGCTGTTCAAAGGCCCCACTCACATTGAAGGTTAAACTGTGGTACCCTGTAGCAGTAAGTTTTGTTATTAATTCCAACTGTTTAGAAATAATCTGCAAATATCAAGTTTACCCTAATACTAACATCCTAAATAACCACAGTACTTTTTAAATTAATATTTCTACATTATCTACAGATCTTATTCAAATCTTGTTAATGCCCCTAACATGTTTTTGGAACCAGGCTCCAAATGCATTCAGCCATTATGTCTCCTTAGTATGTTTTAAACAGTGATTGATGGTGGTGCCTTGGGTTATTCGGTTTGCATGACCTCGACACTTCTGAAGTGTTGAGTTCAGTCACATTTCCTCAGGATTAGGTGTGGGTAATCATTAGGGGATACACAAGTGATGCTGGGTTTCTCAGTGCATCATCTCAGGAGGCTCAGCTGCACTGAGGTACAAGTGAACTTCCATCACGTGGTTCAGGTAGGGTCTGCCAGGTTTCCATTGTCAAGTTACTATTTTCCCTTTTCTATTAAGTATCTTGTGGAAGATATTCTGAGGCTGTAAATATTTCTGTTTCTTATTCAAACGTTTAACCACTAGTTTAACATCCCTTGTTAATATTTACTAAGATAACTATTTCTGTGATGGTTACAAAGTGGTGATTTTTTACTTCTTTCTGTATTAATTGGTATACTTTTCCATTTCAAGTTATTTATCCAATTATTTAATGTAAATATAGGTTCATGGACATTTGTTTGTGTCTATTGGGCTATAATTTATAACCATCATTATTTGCTCAAATTATCTCAAACGTGGCAATGTAAAGCCCTTTCAAGTTGACTTCGGTGCCCTTCTGATGTTTCCATAATTTTCTGAGCACTTCACCACAAACTGTTTAAGGATTTTCTTGTCATTTTTCCTGTCCTCACCTTGGAACAGCTTTTCTCCAAGGTCTTGGTTCCTTTAATTAGAAGGTAGCTAGAAACCTAGCAGTAGGTACATTCACTGCTATGAGGAGTCACTGCTTCTAGACCTTTCTTCCATGTCCACAAACACATATTCACATGTCTGTTAAAACCCTAAGTTCATACCGGTAACTCCAACTTCCACTCCACACACAGGGTTCATTCTAGCCCCAGACCCACACCACGCCCATTTTAACTTCTTTATGAGAACTTGGCTTTCATTATCCACAATAAATTTACTCATCCGATCTTAGAATACACACACATACTAAGCCACGTAATGTGAAAAACCAATTTACTACAATGCCTTATTCTTTTTTGGATTTAATCTTAAGAGTATGAAGTTAAAATACCGTTTTCCCAGTTTCTTGGGTTACTTTTATTCTGCGTTCACCTCTTAGTGTGGTTCCATTTTTCACATCACTTGTTAGTTTATATTCGATTGTGGGTTTTCCCCTATATCCCAACTGTCTATTTTTCAAGTAAGAAGTTGTAACTATACAAAAAAGTGCATTCAAAGAAGTGTCACTTCTTATCCCTTCTAGTCTCCTTTCTTTGCTAAAAAAGTATGCAGCTGATATTCCTTTGCACTTGGCAATATTCATTTCTGTTAGTTTGCAGAAAAGCATTTACCTAGCAGGCCCACCTGTTATCTCTAGAAAGATCTGCTTGCAAGGGTAGCTCTGGCTAGCATCTGGGAACTTAGATTTTAGGAGTTTCCATTATGCTCTAAAGAAAAGAGTAGCTCACTACAACTAAACATCGTGGCTTATGCTCAATATCTGCTTTGTCTCCGAAGTTTAGAATTTTGTTATGTGCCAGGCAGGCAAGGCATGTCCACAAGTAGCCCCTAGTGAAAAATCTGGACTCTAACAAATTGTTGTGATAGATACCATTTCATGTCACTATCTGTTCCCAGAGAATATTAATTTATGTGACTATTCTGAATGAACTCCATGGAAGTCTCTTCATTGCCCTGGACTTTGCGCATGCTTCTCTTCCCTTCTCTTCCCCTGTGCTGACTGCTTTATATTCCTTTGCTATAATTAACTTTGGCTGTGATTATGACCGTATGCTGAGACCCATGACTTCTAGTGTATCACCAAATGTGGAGATGACTTTGGGGGCCCTGACACACTTGGAAGACATTCCACATCATTATATAGAGCTCTTCATTCTTGATTACAGTCAAGTAGTGCTCCAAATATGGATATACCACACACCATTGTTCATTCAACCTCTCACTTGTATGTGCATTTCTGCAATAAGCAAAGCTTTGCTTAATTTTTTTGCAGCAATATTTTGCAATAATAAACACTGCAAAGGATAACCTTTTTATTACACTCTTGGAAGTTTATCCTTAGGATAGAGTCCAAGTGCTGGTCAGCAAGTCCTCAGGGCATATGTACTTCTACCAGATGTAGTTTTGTCAGGTGTAGCCAAATTCCCCTTCTGAAAGCCTTCTCTATTCCTGCCAGCAATGTGTGACAATAGCTTTTTTTTTCCTCACTGCTTTGCCAGCTAGATAATGCAATTGTAATTTTTTGCCTTTGTCAACTTGAGAGATACAAAGTGGTATGTCAGTTTAAGTTTGCATTTCTCTAATTATGAGTGATGACCATCTCTTCATAGGTTTAAGCGCAATACACAGTGAACTACTATCCCATTCACTATTGGGTTTTCATTCCTCAATCTGAAAGTTATTTTAGAGATACAGGCCTTTTATTCATTGCAAATTTGCTCTCCTAATTTGTAAGTTGTCCTCTGCCTGTGTTTGTGATGTTTTGATAATCTAGGAAGAGCTCTCTTCTGGGGTCCACAAGTATTCAATGGTATACAAGTGCTACATCTGTTTATCCAAGAAATTGTAGCATTTAGATTTCAAAGAGTCCTGTGATCTGAGAACAATTAGGCATGTCCACCATCTCAAGTCTTCAAATGAAGCTAACTCTGCCCCACAGAACCAATTCTACTTATTAGTCCTCCAAATACTTGAAAGCTTCTCTCATTTCTCTTGATTCCTTTCTTTTATAGGACACACCCCACAAGTGGCCTCCAATGGTGTATTTTCAGTGTCATTAGTGTGAATTTTTATTGTGAGGGAATTCTTAGTTTTCTGTTATCTTCCCATATGACACCATGCTCAGCTTGGGGAAGAGAGGACAGGTATACTTTGATCAGGAACCCTGAAGTATTTCTCGCCTCCTGACATACTCCCCTCTCCCATTCCATAGACACCTTGAGATCATCTACATGTTGGGGGGACAGAGATGGGATCTTTAAGTGTCGTATTCTGGTTAGAGGCCAACCAGCACATAACAAGAGTACATCTACTACCTCTAAATCTCATTAACACATCTGTTAATGTGTATTAAGAGCAAACTGACTTTTCCTGACAATCATATAGCAATGTCAATCCTAGTACACCTGGTAAAACCTGCAGATTTTCTGTTTTTCCATGAACACTTTTGTCTCTCCTCCCTCACCCCCACTTTTTGGAACTAAATGTAACATCTTAACATTTGTAACATTTCATTTTGCTTTACTGAAAACAGTATTTATTTTTGGTGGTAGAGTTGGAATGCTGTAAAAAAAAAAATAAAGGGTGGGTAGTAATCTAGTTTTAGGTGGTGTGGTGTGTGTGCATTCATTGTAATACTTAACAACGTATATAATTACACATGCTTTTATTTTATATCAAATACCACATTAAACAATTTTTCATCTTATAAAAATCAGCTCACCGGGCCCTCCCTGGTGGCGCAGGTTAAAGCACAGCAGTAAGCAGCTAAAGCCACTTCAGCATGAGTTTGATCCCCTCCCAGGAGGTGACCCACATGGCGCAGCAGACCTCTCCTGACCTGCCCACTGCTCCCCTCAGCAGTGTACTTTGTCAGTTGGTCTGTTCTGCTCCCCACTCTGTCTTTAGTGAATCTTCTCACCGCCCCTGCACCTCTGGCCTATACCCCAGTTCTGTATGCACAAATAAATAGATCTTAAAAAAAAAAAAACCAGCCCACCAAATCAAGAATGAGCTTTTGGATCCTGAATGTTCTGCCACACTCATTTAACTGTATCTTTAAGGGTAGGTAGTCACAGCATAAAATCTGGTATCATATTCAACTATCAATGATTTGTTAAAAATTTATGGTTATTTTTTGCAAGAACCAATTGCTCTGTAACCTATACATAGAAATGATTTATACAATAGGTGGAGGGACCAGAGCCAAGTCTAGGAAACCCAGAGAATATGAACTTAGGGATTTAGTAGGGGTGGGTAAACTACAGCTCACAGGTCAGCTCCTCTACTTAAAAGAGTTATTGGTAACAGTCACATCCCCATTCACTTAAACGTTTCTATAATATCTGTTTCATGCTATACAAAGGCAGAGTTCAGTAGTCTGGACAGAGACCATATACCTGTTTACTTTAGGATCCTTTACAGAAAAGGCTTATGCCTTGCTTTTTCCCTCCTTTACATCCAAAATTTCTGAGTGCATCATACAAGCCAGGTTGCTCATCCTGTAAACCCGGGTGACAAATACTGGCTGGTCGGTGTGGTAGCAGTGGGTCCTGATGGGCGGAGGGGCTATAGGCTGGTCATCATGCCCTGCAACTGTGGAGGAGCCAGAGTGACTGCCCGACCCTTGCACCCCCTCCTCAAATCTGTCACCCTGCTCCCTCACTCACCATAGCACTGACTGGCATACCATTATATACTGTGTGCTATTTGGCTGGCTGTGGAAACCCCATAAATTCCTTATGCAGCAGGCACTCAAACAAATGTGTGATAAATGGGGGAGAAAAAAAAAGAAAACAAAAAGCTTACTAATCCCTGAACTAAGCCACCACCCAAAGAAGAAAGTAAGTTTACTAGTGCACTTGACTAGTAAACTTAAGGATATTCCTCTAGGGTTCATCAGGCTATCACAGCACACTAGTATTTAGGCTTAGCTACCTAGTAATCAAACTCTTGCATGTAGAAAGGCATATGACCAGTATGACCTTTTCTACCATGTAATAGTTCTATTTTTCATTATATACTAAATAAAGAACTAGTTCTATGATTTATATTCCAACCTCTCATGAAGTGGGTTAACATCATTCAATCCTTTGGAGACAATCACTTTTGATATACTAATATTTAAAAGTCAAACTTCTAGATCTGTAGAAACAAGCTTTTGAAATATGGAGATTCCTTTAGGGTATCTAGCCTATGAAGTCCTACCTGGCTCAAGAGCTTCCCTCTACAAGATCCAAATGACATCTCACTAAATCCTAACCATGACACCACCAAAACTTAAAGAATGAGGATACATCATTTCTTAACATCAGATGCAGAAATCACGCACAGCGATCACAAAGTCTCAACATTCCATATACAATGGCTGCTTCAAAGAAGTGACTTTTTCATTAGAAAAGCACTTTTCTTCAAGGACCTAATGTGATACAATGCTTCAAAAGCTTATCAGAAGAAAATATTCAAGAATAAATCATAAGCTACCTGTCAGCATCTGTATTTTCTGCATGAAGTGTTAGACTGGAACACTGTTATTCACACTCATCTAAATCAGATCTCATTTCTTACCTGACTTGGGCTGATCTTTTCTTCAGCAGCTGTGGAATGTTGATGTGGGTCTTCCTTTGTTCCCTCACAGGGGTCTCTTACAATTTCCTCCTGGTCCCCTGGATTTCTGAAGACCTTTAGCTCCATGCTCTTGGCTTTCTCTTCCCTAGTCAAGATCCCAGAAGCCACAGAACCTTCTGCTGTGGAGTCCACCAGCCCACCCCTCCCAGGCTCACCCCCATGATCCACGGTCTCAGAGGTTTCTTCACAACTTTCCACATGAGTCCTCTGCAGCTCCACGGGCACTGCCCTACTCTGACTTAAGAGAGAGCTTGAGGCTCTGGGTTTTACATCTGGAATCCCACTTGGCTCAGAGTCAGCATGAAGCTCTTTGGAGACACTTACTGGGAGTTCAGAGTATAATTCCTGTACCACGGCAGACATGGAGGAATCAAGTGGAACTGGCTGAGTCTCTACTCCGGATGACAGCATTAGAGCAGATGTAGATTATGGAGTCAAGTCTTTTACATCAAATGGTTCACCCTGACACAAATCAAAGGAAGGGATAAAAGTTTAAAAACCTTGGAGGGTAGAAGAAAGCTGTCTCAACTTGAACTGGCTAAAATAAGGACAATAAATTCCACTTCAAATGCCAATATTACCTGGCACTAAATTTTTCTCAACAGACACCAAATTTTTCTTAACAGACTGGGAATCTGTGGAAAAATAAACATCTTAAGCCTTTGACAGACAACTCTCCAATCTCAACTCAGATACTGCCTGTGAATAATTCTCCATTAAAGTCCAGAAGACCAGCAAATGCAGATGAAACTAAATAAGTCTAAACGTCCAAAGAAAGATCTGATGTCTAATAGCAGGTAAAGATAGTTTTCTAGCATCAACTTTACCTGTTTTATTCACTACTATACCCTCACTGTTTAGACAAGGTGCTGGACAACTGTAGGTGCTGACTAGCTATTTGCTGAATTAAATGTATATACTGGGAATTTTGAAGAATTCGATACATTTCCTCAGGAAGAACTCCCTATGAAAGACACAGAGGAAATGGAATTCCATTCCTTTACAGTTTACCAAACACTTAAGCTTTATCTACTCAGCTGGTGCAAAACACTACTAAACCAGCTCTTCAGTAGAACCCTTCCTTTTGATCTGCTTTTTGAGGTTTTCCAAGTTCTTTCCAAATACCACTCTTGATCCTCACGTAACCCTGTGAGCTAAGTACAGCAGCTGTCACCTTCCTATTACAGATCTGAACATCAGTGCTGAAAAGGTAACAAGTGACCTGCCTACAGTATTACATGGTCAACTAAGGAAAAGAAGGAGACACTCCCAGGTATCCACTCAGTTGGGAATGTTTCGTTCCTCGTGTTTGCAAAATATTTCTCTCAGAAGTTCTAATACTTTATTATGAAAAGTAGTCAAAACCAAACACAGAGTATCACACCCTTGACTTAGAACCAAGGTTTCCTGGCAGGTAACTTTTCCATTTTAGTCTTGTCTACCCAGAAGTGTACATTTTCCTCAATAAAATTCACTCTGACCTGACCAAGAAGGAAAATGGCTAACCAAATATGATATAGCATGTTTTCATTCTTCATACTTTCTAAATAAGAGGGAAGAAAAGAAATACTTGGCAACTTAAAAGAGTTTATAACAATGATTCATGAGAGGCACTGACAGCAAAGTCACTGCTATGAATCATTTTACATGTTGAGATGTCTCACTCTCTCCACTGACCACATTCAGATCTGCCGGCAGGATGCAATTTCCCACACATGTAAATCTTTACAACTCAAGTTTTCTTGTTTCTATTCCTGGCAGGATGCAATTTCCCACACATGTAAATCTTTACAACTCAGCTTTCTTGTTTCTATTTCCACCCTGATTATCTAGAGGAGGCTAGGCATCGCTCATACAAAAAAGCAAACACCTGTCCCTTGTAATCATGCCTGCTTACACGGAAGGGCTCATTGTGCTACCGGGACAGAAATTAAGGAAGGACAGACAGGTCATCTTTTTTGAACAACTCTGCCCTTCTGGTACTTCAACCTTTGGTAGGTGGCTTACTTGTGTTCCAAAGGGAAAAGGAAGACAATAGTAACCTGAATACTAAAAATGATAGGAAATCAGAAGGGTGATGACAAACTTCAATCCAATAGAGATGAACTATTGGATGGGAGCTCCAAACTTCTTTTCTCTTCTAGCTCCTAGATCTTTTGGGGTACTTTGGATTTTAGTGTATGTGCGGGGGTGGGGGAGGCTTAGGGAGATAAAAGTGGAATTGCTATTTGATGACAAAATAGATGCTCAATTTTAAATGTGGTTGAGTATCTCTTTCCCAACAGGCAGAATGCAGTATTTGGTTGTCAAACCACAAATACTGTAAAAGGGCAGGTTTGTCAAAGGAGAGGGCTTGGAGGATCTTATGCCACTCATGCTAAAAAGTTCTTCCTCTGCCTGCCACTGAGGTGTGGGTGTTCTCCTAAGTTTAATCCTCCACAAATTTCCCTTATCAGGTTTTACATTTTAATGACCTCACCTTTTCTTGCAATCTCTGCTATGAGGATGACTCAAAACAGACTCTTTAAACATATTTTAACTACATGATCTAACAATTCTATGCTTAGCTATATATGCAAACATGTGTATGCAAATGTTCACACGAGCACTAGTCACAATAATCAAAAAATGGGAGCAATTGAAATGTCTGTTGATAAATAAAATGTGGTATGTCCATGTAGTGGAGTATCATTCAGCCATGAAAATGAATCAAGTACTGATTTATGTTCCGACATGGATAAACCTTTAAGACGGTTTATCCTCAGTAACAAAAATACATGTAAGATCCCATTTATATGAAGTGTCCAGAGCAGGCATAACTGCAGTCAGAAAGTGACTTAGTGGTTGCCTAGCTGGGAGAGTTAGAGAAACAGTGATGTTAAGGGACAGTTTCTGTTGTGGGGCAACAAAAATGTCCTAAAATTTTTGCACTCATGTCTCACAACTGTGACTATACTAAAAATCACTGAATTGTATGGTATATAAAGTGCATCTTAATAAAACTGATTAAAAACAAACATTAGCTCTAACCTTTTTCTCAAAATCTTGATGCACTCACAAGGATGGCATGCCCAAATGTTAACATGTCTAAAAACAGAATCCACTAAACCCCATAAATAACTGAGTCTTACTACAAGGAAACAATTGTAAACACTAAGCAGAAAACTTACATGCTTATTATTAACTGCACTGCCTCTTTCAGTAATGACACCCCCATCAGCCTTGAAGCTCAGACTCACATCTCTGGAAGTAACTATGTCTGACCTTCCTCTTGATACTCAATTAGCACTTGTAGCTCATGAACTCCAACTTGCAGTGTCTGACAAACCCACTCTTTTCCATTGTCAAGATTATTTCAAGATATTTTTCTAAAAATGGAGGACTGTGGATAATACCTATTACTAAATAGATCTTTATCATGAAAAGAAGTCAATATTGATAACGACATAAAATAGTTTAAGACAATCTTATGCCTACATCTATGCTGTAAACTGGTCTTGGCCCAAACAGAATTTTAAAGTTTTGGTCACCAAGAGATAACTTCCAAATTACAAAAGCCAACTACAGGGTACCCTGTTTGGTAGAGACATAATTCTAAGAATTTCAACCTATGAAAACAAGCAGGTACATTGTTTGTTAAAGCCAAAGACATACCCTCCTTTTTCTTTTTCTCCTACTTTAACTCTCCGCCCGTATGTTTCTGAGCTTCTGCAGCTGAGTACCTTTGGGAACCCTCAGAAATGCTGTAATATTGAGATTCAAGTATGGAGAAGCAAATGAAAATTATTCTCAGCTTGCTACCTTATATCACCAAACTCTCCTCACTTCCCCATTACCAAATAATGATAATAACAGAAAGTTGCAGAAACAGATTGAAATTTTACCAGATTTACTCTTCAGAGTGTAATTTCTGAATACAATTTAAAAGGATGACCTAGAAATATATTGCTAGACAGAAAGCTGCCTGGAATATATTATCAAACTCAATAAATAACAGAACTTGTTTATACTGGTACCAGATACATGCAGATAGGAAAAGTATTTGAAAAGATCTAAGCCAAATTTGTAATGGGTCAGTGACTTGTCTACATATTGTACTTTTAAAAATGAGTATGGGCCCTCCCTGGTGGCGCAGCGGGTTAAAGCACTGCACTAAGAAGCTGAAGCCACTTCCGCATGAGTTCGATTCCTGCCTGCCCCGGAGGAGATCCACATGGCGTGGCAGACCTCTCCTGGCCCGCCCACTGCTCCCTTCAGCAGTGTACTTCCTAGATCTGCCTGTTCTGCTTTCTGCTCTGTCTCTGGTGAATCCTCTCACCCTCCGCATCTCTGGCCTGTACCCCAGTTCTGTACGAATAAATAAATAAATATATTTAAAAAAAAAAAAAGCACATTTAAAAAAAAAAATGAGTATGCACTACATATGCATTATAAGGTCCAAAGATACAGTAATAAATAACCGGCAAGTATATTATCTCATTATCAATCTCTCCAAATGTCAACTCTAACTCAACCTTAAGTTTTCACATTAAAGTGTTAAATTAATTTATTAGAAGAAAGTGCATACATGCTTTTAAAATGTAGGCGGGAACTCAGTTCTCCCTAATGACTTATACCTAACCTACTGGGTGGGGACACCAGATAATTAAGTAGTTTGAAGTACAAGCAAAATATAAACCATAGGTTCCCAAATAATCCTTGTCAGCTACTACCAGCTTGCCATTGTTTATCTAATGGGAATGGATTTAATCCTGGAAAAACTAATATTTATAGGGAATATGTGGAGAATTTCAATTAAAAAAGGAAATTATTTTAATTTCCATCTCAAATGCAGACACAGTCCTGGGACCCAATCTACTTTCCCCCAACATCCATCTGTGAGTGGAAAGTAGTCTAGTTGCCAGCCTCAAGTGGGGAGATCAGAATCTCATACTGATTCTGATCACAAACTTACTCAAACTTACTGGCTGCATGGCCTTGAGGGTGCCATTTAATTTTCCTTGGTTTCTTTTTCACATATAAAATGAACAAATTAAACAAAATGATCTCAAAGGGTCCTGCTCCCCATTACAATTTCATCATTCTAAATAACTTTCAGCAAAGCACACCTATGGACATCAATAACTAATCTCCACAACAAGTACTTAACAGGCACACAAGTTAAAAACACTTTACATATAAAATAGATAGAAAAGCTTCGTTTAGTGTCTTTATACAATTTGGCAGTGTCAATTCCCACCCACCCCACCAAATAAAAAAACATGAAAAAAGAAAAAAAACTAGTGGAGAAAGATTACGCTGCAGCTCTTAATCTCATTAAAATATTTTATAATACTAAAAACCTGGCAACTTCTACTTTAGTTGTTTAGAAGCTCTCCCAAATCAACAAATTCTATGGGCCAAAGTATACA